CCTCCATGAGTCCTGGAGATTCAAGCAAATAAATTATACAGACAAAACACAGGAGCATGGATGAGAACACAAAACTCAGATGAGCCCCAGCCCAGGCTAACACCTTGATTTTAGCCTGGTGGGACCCTGAGCAGAGGACCTGGACTCTCGCTCATAAAAACTGCAAGGTAATACATTTAAGTTGTTTTAAACCAACAAGTTTGTGGCAATTTATTATGGCAGCACTAGAAAATGAATATAACAACTGCTAGTGAAAACAAAGGTAATTAAGAAGTTTTACCTACTGTTCATGGGTGTGTACTTGGCTTCAATTTGGAAAGCAGTTTGACATTATCTGGGAAGGCTGAAGGTGCATATTGGTTGTGTCTGTTTACTTTTGTGCTTTGGTAGGTACTACAGATCATTCCTGCCAGGTGTATATGTACGAGAATGTTAACAGCAATGTGGTTTAAATACTGAGACACTGAAAACAAACTAAATTAAATTTTCATCATAAGTAAAATAAATGGTATATTCAAAAGTGGAATACTAACCAGCAATGAAAATGAACACACTACAGTTATATGATAATATGGATGAAGCCCAAAAACATAACTTTGAGTAAAGCAGGATGCAAAGGGGTACACACATTCCATTGTTATAAGGGTTGCAAACAGGCAAAACTAAACTGTTTATAATTAGGAATACATACAATGGTATCAAAACTAGATTTTTTTTTTTAGAGACAAAGAAATAATTCTCATGAACTTCAGAATAGTGATTCTCTCCCCCCAGGCAGAAGAAAGGAATTATATATAGGGATGGAGAAACAGAATTTTCCAGGATGCTGGCAAAGTGTTTTCTTGTACACTGGTGCTCACTTTATAATGTTTGAAAACTGCACACACATATGCACTGCTCTGAATGGAGGGTATATCTCACCACAACAAAGAGGGGACTGAAGACCTCTGAATGATATATTTTATCACCATTCATAATAATGATTTATCTTCCTGAGAAAGTCCTGCAAACACAGCTTTGGAGGCTCCTCTGGTGGGGACGGGGGGCAAACAGCCTTCTCTGGCCTTGGGGCAATGGTTCAGTGTGCCCCACCACCACCATCCCATTTCTGCAGAGCCATCAGCCTGATGACACCTGTGCCAGGCTCAGCAACTGGACTGGGAGGAGGGAGCCATCAGGAGCAACCACCAGCAGCAGACTAATAATAAGATTCATTTCTCTGAGACTCCCAGGACACAACCAGAGAGACTGGAGAATGTTAATGCTGCCTGCTAGGGCTCTGGGAGCGGGTTATTTTTATATTTTTAAGGTCAATTGTTTCAGGTTGGTACACTTATTAGAGGAGATCAGTGGAAAAACACCATTTGCCTCTGTTATAAACCTAAAAGGAAGACGGGGGTCGGGGGAGACAAAACAAAGACATTCATTCACAAATCATGTCTGAACCCACTTTTCTAGAACGTGCCTGAAGTAGGCAGAGGCAGAGTTGAGACCTGATGTCACTTACAACAGAACTTACAACAGGGAGAGCCTCAGTTACAAGATTGACACTGAAAACTTAGGGGCTTCCCTGGCTCCTCCTTTGCTCCAGCCCTCCTGGAAGTTCATTTCCATTATCATCCTCACCATCATCACCATCACTGTGCTAGTTTCCTATTGCTGAGTAACAAATTCACATTGTATAGATCAAAATAACATAACTGTATTATCTCGAAGTTTCTGTAGATCAGAAGTCTGGGCATGGCATGTGTGGGCTCTCCATTCAGGATCTGACCAGGCGAAGTCCAGGTATGACCAGGGCTGTGGTTTTTCATCTGAGGCTGAAAAGAATCTGCTGCAATCTCGATTAGGCTGATGGCAGGACCCAGCTCTTTGTGGTTGTAGGACTGAGGGATCCATTTTCTTTCTAGCTGTCATGTAGGGGTCACCCTCAACTCCCAGAGGTCCCCACATTTATTATCACATGGCCCTCTCCATGTTCAAAGTCGGTAACAGAGAATTTCTTGTGTGTCCAATTTCCCCATGCTTTGAATCTCTAATGTTAGTGTGTATGAGACTAGAGAGAGAAAACTCTGGTTTTGCAAGGCTCAAGTGCTCAGGTCAAACCCATCTGCATAACTGCCCTACCTTTAGGTCAACTGACTTGGGACCTTAATTATACCTGCAACCCCTACACAGAAGTACTTAGATTAATGTTTGAAAAACTAGGAAAATGCATAGGTACACCAAGGACCAGGAATCTTGGAAGATCATCTTAGAATTCTGTCTATCACAGTCATCAACGCTAGTATTACTATTCTATTATTATTCTAAATGAAAAATTCCCAGGGGTATAAACAAAGCAATGTGACTGAGATGAATAATGTCAAGAAATGCTCCATGTAGTAGGAAAATCTATTAGTTATTTGAATGAAGTAAACTCTGTAACTGAAAATAATAGTTTTTATGTATTCATTCATTCAACAAACATGTTCACAGATAAATGAAACAAAGAACATTCCATGACAGTTAAGTTTTAAAAAGAGGGACGATATAATATCTCAAATAGCTAAAACAATCCTGAGAAAGAAAACAAAGTTGGAGACATCATACATCCTGATTTCAAACCATACTACAAAGCTATAGTAATCAAAAAAAGTATAGTGCTGGCATAAAAAAAAAAAAATAGTCAACAGCTCAAAAACAAACTTCCACATACACGATCATCTGATATTTGAAAAGGAAGCCAAACATACTTAGTGGAAAAAGAATAGTCTATTTAATAAAGGATGTTGAGAAAACTAGATAATCACATGCAGAAAAATAAAATTGGACACCTGTTTTATACTACTTACAAATATTAACTTAAAAAGAATTACAGACTTAAATGTAGGACCTGAAACATAAAACATATAAAAGAAAATATAGGGTAAAAACTACTTGACATAATAAGTCTTAGCAATAATTTTTTAAATTTATTTTTATTAATTAATTTTTGTTACAGATGTTTCTCCTTTTTCCCCCACTGATTCCCCCCTCCCCCTCCCTCTCTGCCCTTTCCCCAGTTTGTTGTCCATGTCCACTCTTCAAGCATACATGCATATAAGTTCTGTGGTTTATCTCTTCCCCACCACCCCCCTATTTAGGTGATTCGCAGTCTGTATCCCACTTCTGCATCTCTGGGACTACCCCCTTCCTCAAACTGTTATGTTCATTATATTCCACAAATGAGTGAGATCATATGAAACTTGTCTTTCTCTGTTTGGCTTGTTTCACTTAGGGTGATACTTTCCAGGTCCCTCCATGTAGTCTCAAAGGATAAGAGGTCTTTCTTTCTTACAGCTGCATAGTACTCCATTGTGTATATGTACCACAGCTTTTTTATCCATTTGTCTACTGATGGACACTTGGGCTGTTACCAGATCTTAGCTCTTGTAAATAGTGCTGCTACAAACATGGGGGTACATATATTCTTTCTGATTGGTGTTTCAGGCTTCTTAGGGTATATTCCTAGCAGTGGGATCACTGGGTCAAATGGCAGTTCAATTTTTAATTTTTTGAGGTAACACCATATTGTTTTCCATAGTGGCTGCACCAGTCTGCATTCCCACCAGCAGTGTACTAGAGTCCCCTTTTCTCCATACCCTCATCAACACTTGTTGTTTGATGATTTGTTGATGGCGGCCATTCTGACAGGTGTGAGGTGATACCTCATTGTTGTTTTAATTTGCATCTCTCTGATGATTAGTGATGATGAGCATTTCTTCATATGTTTCTTAGCCATTTGTATGTCCTGTTTGGAGAGGTGTCTATTTAGTTCCTCTGCCCATTTTTTAATTGGATTCTTTGCCTTCCTTTTGTGGAGTTGTATGAGCACTCTATATGTATTGGAAATTAACCCCTTGTCTGATATATCATTGGGAATTATGCTCTCCCATACAGTGGGTTGCCTTTCCGTTTTGATGATTGTATCTTTCGCTGTGCAGAAGCTTTTGAGTTTGATGTAGTCCCTTGTGTTCATTTTCTCCTTTGTTTCTATTGCCTTAGGTGATGTGTCAGTAAAAATTCTGCTGCGTGTGATGTCTGAAATTTTGTTGCCTACAGTCTCTTCTAGGATTTTTATGGATTCATGAGTTACATTTAAGTCTTTTATCCATTTTGAGTTTATTCTCGTGTAGGGTGTAAGTTGATGGTCTAGTTTCATTTTTCTGCAAGTAGCTGTCCAATTTTCCCAGCACCATTTATTAAAGAGGCTGTCCTTACTCCACTGTATGCTCTTGCCACCTTTTTCGAATATTAATTGAGCATATTGCCTTGGGTCCATTTCTGGTTTCTCTGTTCTGTGCCACTGGTCTATATGCATGTTCTTGTGCCAGTACCAGGCTGTTTTGATTACAGTGGCTTTGTAGTATAACCTGAAATTTGGTACTGTGATCCCTCCAACTTTGTTCTTCCTTTTCAAGATTGCTGTGGCTATTCGAGGCCTTTTTTGGTTCTATATGAACTTTTGAAATAAATGTTCTAATTCTTTGAAGTATGCCGTTGGTAATAATTTTTTTTTTTTTAATATGAAACCTAAAACACAAACAACAAAGGCAAAAATAAACAAGTGGAACTACATCATACTAAACAGCTTCTGCACAGCAAAGGAAACAATCAACAAAATGAAAAGGCAATTCATGGAACTGGAGAAAATATTTGCAAATCACGTCAGATAAGGTGTTAATATACAAAATACACAAAGAGATCATACAAATTAATAACAAAAACAATTCAATTAAAAAATGGGCAGAGAGGAGCGATGAGGCCGAAGTCAGTTGAAGTGTGTCCATGCAAGCAGCAGACCCTGGTTGTGAGACCTGGGTGAGAATAACTGCAATGAGCATGAGAGGGCAAGCCAGGTGCAGACGCTTAGGCAGGGCAGCAACGCCACCCCTGGCTTTTATAATTCCCGTACGTCCCCCAAAGCCTAAACTACAGGGAACTAGAAGGCCCCCAAATGCCTGGAGGCTTAACATGTATCAAAGGCGCTGGAAGCCGGGCTCGGGGCTCAGCCTTTGGAGGTGACTCCGCTGGGACAGCACCGTGTGCATTAAACAGTCTTTTTCTAATCCTTGGAGTGTGTTGCAGTCTGTCTCTTCCCACCCACTGAATTTCTGCCACAACAAGCACAAGAAACACAATTTATGTATTTTTAATCCTTTCAAGTTTGTTGAAAGTTGACTTATAGCACAATCTTGTCAATTTAAAAAATGTTCAAGTGTGCCTCTCTGTTGCTGTCTGTGAATTTTGGGAATAACACCTTAGTGTCAGCAGGAAACAGGGTTGGCTACAGTGGGTGATCTATGAAGGTTGACTTCAAGTTGCTGTTCATGTTAAGTTTTCTTACTAATTTTTTGTGTGGGAGTCTACTGTTTGTGAAATTGGTACACTCTATTCCTGAATGAGAGAGGTGTGTTAAACATCCTATTATGGGCATTAATTTTTCAATTTTTCATGTCTCTGTTCTATATACTCTACAGTATGTTATTAAATTTAGGTGAATTTGGATCTTCCTGGTAAACTGAAATTGTTAATGTAAAGTGTTCTTCATTCCTAGTAGTGTTTTTGCCTTCAAGTCTACTGCATATTATTATTTATTATTTGATTTATGTTTGCATAATACATGGTTGGACAAAACTAAGTTTCAAGTTGTTCCCATGGAAAATAATACAATAATAAATTATAACACAAGTGTAAACTCTGTTTCATGTACTCACAAGTATATTTTTGTGTCATCACGTGTATCTTTTTTTCATGTTTTTACTTTCAATGTCTTTATATCCTTATGTTTCAGGTAACTTTGTAAAATTAGTTATGAGTGGCTATTAAAATTTTTTAGTAATTGATAAAAAATAAAATAAAAATATAAAAAGGGCAGAGAAACTGAATAGACGTTTTTTCAAAGAAGACACAAATGGCCAACAGATACTCATCACTAATCATCAGGAAAATGAAAATAGAAAACACAAGGAGATAGCACCTCACCTCTACTAGAACTGCTATTACCAAAAATACAAGAGAAAAGTGTTGGAGAGGATGTGGAGAAAAGGGAATCCTTTCCCACTGTTGGTGGGAATGTAAATTGATGCAGCCACTATGGAAACAGTATAAATTTTCTGCAAAAAATTCAAAACAAAATTATCACACGACCCAGTAATTCCACGTCTGGGTATAGATCTAAAGAAAATAAAAACAGCCCTGGCCAGTTTGGCTCAGTGGTTAGAGCGTCAGCCTGCGGTCTGGAGAGACCCGGGTTCGGTTCCCGCTAAGGGCACGTACCTCGGTTGCAGTTTGTCCCCGGCCCTGGTTGGTCGTGCGGGTGGCAGCCACTCGATGTGTCCCTTCACGTCGATGTTTCTCTCTCTCTCTCCCTTCCTCTCTCTCCCTCCCACTCTATCTGTACAAAAAATGGAAAAATATCCTCAGGTGAGGATAAAAAAAAAAAAAGAAAAGAAAAGAAAAACAGGTTATCAAAGTAATGTCCACACTCTCGTGTCTGTTGCAGCATTATTTACAATAACCAAAACATGGAAACAACCTAAGAGTCCATCAACAAGAGAAAGAGAAAGAATTTGTGGTATGCACATGTACTATAGGATATTATTCAGCCATGAAAAAGAATAAAACCCTGGTTTTTGAAATAATATCAGTGGTCCTTAAGGACTGTATGCTAAGCAAAATAGGTCAGACAGAGACTTTTGGTCAAGATGGCAGTGTAGGTGAACACAGTACTCAGAACCACCCCAAACCACAACTAAATTACAGAATAACCATCATTCAGAACCACCTGAAATTTAGCTGAACAGAAGTCCTACAACTAATTATATGAAGAAGAAGCCACATCAAGACTGATAGGAGGGGCAGAGAATGAGCTGGTCCCATACCCACAGGTGGTGGTGAAAAATGGAGATGGATATTTTAGCAACTGAGGACCCCTCTAAGGAGTGAGGTGTCCCAACTGCACATCAGAACCCTCAGGCCAGGGTTCTGGTGCCAGAAAGAGAAGTGCCCATAGCTTCTGGCTGTGGAAACCAGCAGGGATTTTGGCTAAATGAGTTGGAGGGCTACTAGAGTCCCAGGCATTCCTAAAAGGGCTTGCACACAGACTTACTCAAACTCACTCTGATCTCCAGTATTTGGGCAGCAGCTCAAAAGGTTCCAGGGACATAGAGGGAGGAACTGAATGGTCTGGCTTCAGGATGAGGGCTGGAGGAACAGGTTTCTCCCAAACAAAAGTACTGGCAGAGGCTATTGTTTATTTGTTGAGCCCTTCCCCCACAGAGCCAGCAGGCAGGTAACATATGTGAGTCTCCAGCAACCTGGCTATTTTTGTTCACCTCAACCTGGTGATTTCCTGAGACCACCACCCCACCCAACTTGTGAATCCACAGAAGATATTTCCAGTGGCTTTGGATACACATGGCCTCTCTTGGCTCATGCTTTGGGCTTTCCTAAAATCTCTCAAACAAGAAGCATTTGGTCTCTGTGTGCACTGTACTTCTTGCTAAGTGGCCCCAGACCTGGCATTGATGGCAGCCAGCCTTGGTTCTCAGCTTGGCCTCTCCTGGGTACCTCCAAGCCCAGCACAAGTAGCAGCCATGTGAGATCACACTGTAGCTTATGCCAGGAGTTCAAAGGCAGTGATTGACCTTGCACCTCCCAGGAGGCCCCAGAGCCAGTGCATCAGGTAGACAGCTTCAGACTGTAATGGATTACAGCCCTACCACCTCCAAAAGCAACACACTCAAGGGGTGGACATGGTGAGCACCAAAACCCCACTGAAGCAATTCCTGCTCCATGGGGTCAGCCCATGCACAGTGGCTTCTTCTCTGTAGTCACAGGTGGTCCTCAACACCAATCAGACTTGGGAGTCAATCCTTCCCAGTAACTTGCCAATAGCAATCAAAGCTCAACTGCAACAGGACAGTGTACACAACCAACACAGGGGGTGCAACTGGAACACCCAGCTGGGGTGATCAAGGAGGCTGCACCACTGGTTCCTACAAGATACTTACTACACAAGGCCACTCTACCAAGTCTGGAAGATTTAGCACTATACCTAATACATAGAAACAAACACAGGGAAGCAGCCAAAATGTGGAGACAAAAAAAAAAAAAAACAGGACCCAAATGAAAAACAAAAAGAAAGAAAGAAATCTACAGAAAAATAACTAAGTGAAATAAAGGCAAGCAAACTTTATCATTTGATCAGATACAGAGTTCAAAACAATAGTTACAAGGATGCTCAAGGAACTTAATGAGACCCTCAACAGCATAAAAAGGACAAGGAAACTATAAAAAAGAACCAGTCAAAAATAAAGCATACATGAACTGAAATGAAGAATAAATTACAGAAAATCAGCAGTAAACTAGATAAAGTAGAGAATCAAATCGGTGATTTGGAATATAAGGCAGCAGAAAATACCCAATCTGAACAGCAAAAAGAGAGAAGAACCCAAAAAAAAAACTGAGGATAGTATAAAAAGCCTCTAGGACAACTTTAAGTGGACCAAATTTCACATCATGGGGGTGCTGAAAGGAAAAGAGAGAGAGCAAGAAATTAAAAACCTATTTCAAAAATAGTGATGGAAAACTTCCCTAACCTGAAGAAGGAAACAGACATACAAGTCCAGGAAGCACAGAGAATTCCAAACAAGATGAACCTAAAGAGGCTCATACCAAGACACATCATAATTGAAAAGCCAAAGGCTAAAAACAAATAATATATTTTAAAGTATGTTTTTATTGATTTTTTTTTTTTAAAGAAAGATAGGAAGGGAGAAAGAGATAGAAACATTGATGTGAGAGAGAAACATTGATCTGCTGCCATCTGCATGCCCCCTACTGGGGACTGAGCCCACAATTCAGGCTTTTGCCCTGACCGGGAATCAAACCAGGACCTCTCAGTCCATTGAATGACCCTCATCCACTGATCCACACCGGCCAGGCAACAAACAAAGACTCTTAAAAGCAGCAAGAGAAAAGCAGTTAGTTATCTACAAGGGAGTTCCCATAAGGCTGTCCGCTGATTTCACAACAGAAACTTTGCAGGCTAGAAGGTATTGGCATGAAATATTCAGTGATGAAAAGTAAGGACCTACAACCAAGTTTATCCAGAAAAGTTATCATTTAGAATTGAAGGACAGATAAAGAGCTTTCCAGACAAGTAAAAGCTAAAGGAGTTCATTATCACCAAACCAGTATTACAAGAAATGTTAAAGGGTCTTTTTTAAGGAGAAAAAGAAGGTGGAGGAGTGGAAGAAGAAGGAGAAGGAGGAAAAGAAATAAAAATATAAAAAAATATGAGTAATAAAATGGCAATAAATACATATCTATCAACAAATATTGTAAATGCAAATGGATTAGTCCTGGCCAGGTAGCTCAATTGGTTAGAGCATCATCCTGATATACCAAGGTTGCAGATTCAATTTCCAGTCAGGGCAATGCAAGAATCAACCAATGAATGCATGCATAAGTAGAACAACAAATCTAAATGTCTCTCTCTGGCTCTCTATCTATCTCTATCTCTATCTCTATCTCTATCTCTATTTCTCCCTTTCACTCTCTCTCGAAACTAATTAATAAAATAAATAAATAAAAATTGATTAAATGCTCCAATCAAAAGACATATGGTAACTGAATGGATAAGAAAACAAGACCCACAAGACCCTTACATATGCTATCTACAAGAGACTCACTTTAGATTGAAAGATACACACTGACTGAAAGTTAAGAGATGAGAAAAATATATTTAATGAAATGAAAACAAAACAAAAAAGCAGGAATAGCAAGACTTATACCAGACAAAATAGACTTTAAAACACAGGCTATAACAAGAAACAAAAAAAGATCCAGCAACTCCACTTTTGGGTATTTATCCCAAGAGACCCAGAACACTAAATCAAAAAGACATATATATCCATGTGTTTGTTGAAGCATTATTTAAAATAGCCCAGCTATGAAAGCAATCTAAGTGTCCATCAATAGATGAATGGATAAAGAAGAAGGGCATATATACAATGGAATATTACTCAGCCATAATAAAGAGTGAAATCACCTGGCCAGAGTGGCTCAGTGGTTGAACATCGACCCATGCACCAAGAGGTCTTTAGTTCAATTCCCAGTCAGGGCATGTGCCCAGGTTGTGGGCCAAATCCCCAGTGGGGAGCATGCAGGGGTCGGCCAATTGATGTTCTCTCTCATCGATGTTTCTCTCTCTCTCTCCCTCTCCCTCCTCTCTAAAATCAATAAAGAAAAAAAAATTTTTTAAAGAGTGAAATCTTGCCATCTGCAACAATATGGATGGACCTTGAGGGTATTATGCTAAGTAAAATAAGTCAGATAGAGAAAGACAAATGCCAGATGATTTCACTTATATGTGGAATCTAAATAAACAGAACAGAAAGAGACTCATAGATACAGAGAACATTTTGAGGTTGCCAGATGGGAGAAGGGTTGAGGGGGATGGGTGAAAAAGGTAAAGGGATTTAAAAGTATAAATTGGTGGTCACAGAATAATCATGGGGATATAAAGTACGGCATAAAGAATATAGTCAATAATATTGCAATCACTATATATGGTGTCAGATGGGTATCAGATTTATCAGGGTGATTACTTTGCAAGTTGTATAAATGTCTAGTCACAGGTTGTACACCTGAAACTAATTTAATAATGTACATTACCTGTAATTTAAGAATAAATATTTTAAATGTCTGAGAAAGAAAAATACTGTGTGATATTTCTTATTTGTGGAATCCTCCAATACTGAACTTGTATAACAGAGAGCAGAATGGTGGTTACCAGGAACTGGGGGTGGGGGAAATGGGAAGATATTGGTCAGAGAGTACAAACTTACAGTTAGAAGATTCGTAAGTTCTAGGGATCTAATGTACAGCATGGTGACTATAGATATCAATATCATACCATATACTTGAAAGTTGCTAAGAGAGTGGATCTTAAATGCTTTTACCACAAAAAAGAAATGGTAACTATATGCCATGATGTGTGTATTAGCTAACACTATGCAAGTAATCATATTGCAATATATGTGTATCAGATCAACACCGTGTACACCATAAAGTTATACAATGTTACATGTTAGCTATATCTCAATAAAGTTTGAAAAAAAAAGAGACAGAGATATGTACAAATTATACTATCCATTAACAACTCTGTACTGGGGACTTACCATGGGACAAGGGCTGGGTCTCAAGGGCAGTGCGGGGAAACGCAAGGTGCATCGCTGTAAGTGGCGGCACCCAAGATCCCAGTCCTCGGAATTCAGAGTGAGAAGGGGACTTTTTAGGTCCAGAACGTGGTAAAGCATCACCCTCACAGATGGGGACACACTGGGATGGGTTTTAAGTGTTTTAAGAAGGAACACTGACACTGTGCAGGAAACGGCACGCGAGTTGGAGTGACCGCCGTGCACGACGCCCGCCCTGGAGAGCTGTGTGTCTGGGAAACAGCACGTGGCCCACTTTGGGTAGATTACAAGCCATGTGAAGGGACATGATATAAGATAAGATTATAAAGGAACAGATTCTGAAGTATCTTGAAGGACAATAAAATTCCACCTTATTAAGATATGACATGCCGAAGCTTCCCTGTGAGACTGACTTAGGAACACAAACATTGATCGGAAACGCAGTGTTTAACAGGCACTATTTTAGGTGTTGAAGATAGAAGTTCAAATTCCTGCCCTCAGGACATTTTTATTTTAGGAGAGGCAACGACAAGAACATAAATAAAAATGCGCTGTGAAGAAAAAATGAAGCAAGATAAACTAATAGAGATCGAGCGACAATGACCAAGCTGGAGAGTCAGAGGAGGCTCCCCGAGAGGGAGTCTGCAGTGAAGGCCAGGACTGCAGGGGGAGTGGGCCATGGCCACCCGGCGTCTTCCGCAGGGCCAGTAGGAAGAGGTCCTGATGAGCCATCCTGCCTGTCACACCTGAGCAAAAGCAAGCAGTCACTGTAAGTGAGGGGACAGCGGTGGAAATCATGTCGGAGAAGTCGGCAGGCCCAGATTATATGGGACTTTGAAGTATATGGACACTAGTGTGTGTTTTACTCTAAATGCTGTGAGAGCCTATGGGAAGCTTCTGAATATCGCAGAAGTAAAATTACCTGATTTGTATTTCCAAACAATTGCTCAGGCTGAGATGGAAAATCATGGGGAGCAAGGGTGAAGTTATTACTATTATCCGAATGAGAAGCACAGTGCCCCAAACCAGGGGTTCAGCTGTGGCAGTGGTCAGTTTGGGAATATGCATTAGAGGTGAAGGCAAAAGTTTGGCTGGTAGACTGTATGAGGGAGTGAGGGGAAGGGGAATTTCAAAATCAGGGAGAGAAGAGCCTGGAGCAGGGGGACCTGGTAAGAGCCTGATTTTGCCAATAAGGCAGCGGAGCAGAATTGAGGGGTTGGATCAAGACTGGCAGCAAGATGAGAGAAGGTAACCCGCAGGAAGGTTGCTAATGGAAGATCAGAGTTTGACATTATTTACAATTGTGCCACCTTTCGTGGTGGCTGAATATCACAAGTGTAAAGGCTTACTGTAGCCACAAAATCTTTTGTTCTTCCCAAACAATTTTCTATTTTAGTTATGAAGGTCATTTTCCAGAGCCAAACTTTTTTTCACAAGTCTTATGTTCATTCAATCAAAGAGTTTCTTCCATCTTTCAGGGCCTATTCATTTGCAGAGTCGAAACTGTAACCAAGTTCTCCATATCACACATTCACACATGATGTCCATTCTTCATGTCCTGGCCAGTTTCTTTAAGATAAAAGGAGTGACGCACAGCAGGGCCACATGGATGAGGAAGTTGCATGTGGAGGAGCTCGCATCCTCGAGCATCTTCGGTTCCGTCTCCTCCGGGTCCAGCTTTGGCTCAAGGCCCTCTATGCAAACCATCATTCCTCCCCTCACCAGCTTCCAGCTGCTGCTGGCTCCTGCTTTTCTTGCAGTTTAGAGAAGTATCACTCAGTATCTCTTCAAATCTTGCTTCTCTGCCATTTCCTCCTTTGCATCTTGTTTATCATTCATCTCTTCTGGATGCAGATTTTAATTAATAAACTATTTTTAGAGCAATTTTAGGTCCATAGCAAAATTTGGCTGAAAGTTACAATGAACCTACACTGACACACACGATCACCCAAAATCCATAGTGTCCGTTCTGGTTCAGTCTTGGCGGCGGTGTGCATTCTGTGGGTTTTGATAAATGTGCAGCACCATTATCGTACCGTACAGAGCAGTCCACTGCTCTAAAAATTCCCTGTGCTCTGCCTGTTTATCCCTCCCTCCCAGTAGCCACTGATCTTTCCATGCCTCCATAGTTCTGTCTTTTCTAGAAAGTCATATCATTGGATCATACAGCCCTTTGAGACTGGCTTCTTTCACTTAGCAATGTGCATTTAAGGTTTCTTTCTGTCTTTATGGCTTGATAGCTCTTTTTCGTGCTAAATAATATTCTATTATCTTGACTATACCACAGTTTATTCACCTCCTGAAAGACATCTTGGTTGCCTCTGTTTTTTTGGCAACTATGAATAAAGTTGCCATAAAAATCCATATGCAGGCTTTGTGTGAACATGATTTTCAATCTTGGGGTGGAGGGTAAATACCAAGAGGCATGACTTGCTGGATCCAATGGTAAGAGTATATGTTTAGCTTTATAGGAAACCACGAAAGTGACTGTACCATTTCACATGTCCACCAGCGATGAAGGAGACTTTCTTTGCTCCTCATCCGCATCAGCCTTCAGTGTCGTGTTTTGGATTTTGGCCTTTCTAGAAGAATGTAGTAGTATCTCATTATTGTTTTAACTTGTAATTTTCTAATGACATATAATGTTGAACATCTTTTTATATGCTTATTTGCCATTCGTATATCTAATTTGGTGAAGTGTCTGTTAAGGTCATTAGCCCATTTTTTTAAATACCATTGTTCAATTTCTTATTGTTGAGTATTAAAAGCTTTTTGTATATTTTGAATAACATCTTTATCAGATCTGTCTTCTGAAAATATTTTTTCCTCTCTGTGGCTTGTATTCACATTCTCTTGACATTGTCTTTCACAGAGCACAAGTTTTTTATTAGAATAAAATCCAGTTTATAAATTTTTCCTTGTGGACTGTCTTGCCCTGAGTGTTGTATGTAAAAATCACTGCCATACCCAAGATCATCATTCCTCCTACGTTATCTTCTAGGAGTTACATAGTTTGTGTTTTACATTAAGGCCTGGGGTCTGTCCTGAACTGGTGTTTGTGATGAGGAGGCCTGTGTTCAGATTCATTTTTTTTGTTCGTGTGGCCGGTTGTTAGAGCACAGTTTCTTAAAAAGACTATCCTGGTTCCATTGTATTGCCTTTAGCCTTCAGTCAAAGGTTATTTGATTGTATTTGTGTGGGTTTATTTCTGTCCACTAATCTATTTGTCTATTCTTTCATCAATAATTAATTAATTTAGCTTTATAGTGATTCTTAATGTTGGGTAGTATCACACCTCCAACTTTGTTTCTACTCCAAGATTGTGTTAGCTCTTCTGGGTCTTTTGCCTCTCCATATAAAATATAGAATCAGTTTGTTGATATCCACACAAAAAAAAGTAGAAAATAATGGTGTATAGGAATAATAACAAAAGATGTATATTGTATTTCTGAAGAAAATAAAATTTTATTGAAAGATGTTAAATAAAACATGAAGAGATATCGTGTTCACAGATAAAAAGATAAAACTGGTCATTCTGTCCAAATTAATCTAAAAATTGTGTAATTTCAAGGAATTTGATCAAGATGGTGGAGTAGGTAAACAATGTACTTATCTCCTCCAATGACCACATCAGAATTACAACTATATTATAGAACAATTAACCTAGATAACCATCTGAAGACTAACTGAACAGAACTCCTATAAATAAAGATATAAAGAAGAAGCCACACTGAGATTGGTTGGGGGGCCATAGACTGACCCCGCACCCATGTGGTGGTTGAGAATTTGAAGAGATATGTCATCTGCAGAGGTCCCACCTTAGGAGCAAGAGATCTCAGCCCCACACTTGACTCCCCATCTCAGAACACCAGTGTCAGGACATAGAGTCCACACAACATCTGGTTGTGAAAATCATGTGGAAGCCCAGGTACCCTCTTAAAAGTCTTGCTCATAGGCACTCACCTGGGACTCCAATAAAAGGACAGTGACCCAGGGGTGCCAAAGACATACAGGTAGAAACTGAGTTGTGTGGCTTCAGGGTGAAGGCTCAAGGGATGGCTGCCATTGTTCCTGTGTGAAGCCCTTCCCCCCCCCCCCCCCCAGGAACAAGGTGAATCTGCATCAGCCTGGTGAATTCCACCAGCTCTACCCCGACAGCTTCCTAAGACCTGCCCCACCACAAAGGCTCACAAGCCCCAGGCAATGCTCGCTATACCCTGAGACTTTTGCTGAGTGACCGGCACTGGCACCAGATCTGTATCTGTATTAAGGAGGTGAACACCACTGGCCCAGTCCTGGTGACTTCCTGAGACACTGCCTCATCCAGCTCAGGTACCGCTGGAGACCTTTTAGTGGGTGAGCCTTAGGAGCAGAACAACCAGTATGTGGGTAGCGAGTTGTTCGCTGACCTTCCCCAGGCCTGACACTGGTGGTAGCCAGCCTTAGTTTGCAGCTTGACCCCTCCCAAATGCATGCAGGAGCAGCACAGGCAGCTATCAACCAGGGATCACTTTATGTTTCCTAACAGGGAGCCGCAGGCCGGTCACGGGCAGTGTCCGACATTGACCTGCACCAGAATGCCCCCCAAGAGTCCCCAACAACACACATGGTGACCGGCTGCAGCCACAAGAGAACACCAGCCAATTAGCTCCACAAGTGGCATACCCAAAGGGAGGCTGTGACTGACACCAGACCCCACTAGGGCAGATCAACTCCATACAGTCAGCACCTGCACAGCAGCTCATAGGCTATGGTGATGGCCAATCCTCACAGCCAACCAGCCTGAACCTCAATCCCACCCACTGACATGCCACCAGCAATCAAGGCTCAACTACAGCAGAAGAGCACACACAACCCACACAGGGGACACTCCTGGAGAACCCAACTCAAGAGATTCAGGGAGACTGTGCAAGTAGGTCCCACAGGGCACCTACTACATAAGACCACCCTGCTAAGATTGGGAGAAGTAGTAGATATACCTGATACATAGAAACAAACACAGAAGGGCATACAAAATGGGGATACAAAAAAATATATATCCCAAATGTAACAGAAGAAATCTCAAGAAAGGAAAAAAGAAAAAGAAATGGAGTCAAGCAATCTACCAGATACAGAGTTCAAAACACTGGTTATAAGGATACTTAAGGAATTGGGGAAAGGGTAGATAAACTTCATGAGACCTGCAACAAAGAGATAGTAAGCATCAAAAGGGACCTAGGGACCATTTTTTTAAAGTCAGATAAAGAATACAGTAACTGAAAGGAAACCTACATTAGAAAGAATCAAAAGCACATTGGGTGAAGCAGAAAATTGAATCAGTGACTTGTAAGACAAAAATAGCACAAAACACCCAATTAGAGCAGCAAACAGAAAAAGAACTTTAAAAAATAATAATAATGTAAGGGACCTCTGAGACAACATCAAGTGTAATAATATTTGCATCATAGGGCTACCAGAAGGAGGAAAGAGAGAATAAGGGATTGAGAACGTATTTGAACAAATAATGACTGAAAATTTTCCTATATGAAGAAAATACACAGCAAGTCCACAAATTGCAGAAAATTCCAAACAAGATGAGCCCGAAAATGTCTGCACAGACACATCAGTTACCTACAAGGAAGCTCCCATAAAACTGTCAGCTGATTTCGCAACATAAAGTTTAGAGACCAGAAGGGATTACCATGAAATATTCAGTGATGAAAAGCAAGGACCTACACGTAAGACTACTCTACCCATCAAGACTTTAAAATTTAAAATTTAAAAAGAGATAAAGTGCTTACCAGATTTAAAAAAAGCTAAAAACGTTCATCACCACCAAACCAGTGTTACAGGAAATGTTAAAGAGACTTCTAGGGAACTTAAATATAAATAATAAAATGTCAATAACTATGTACCTGTCAATAATCACTTTAAATGTAAATAGGCCCTGGCAGCGTGGCTCAGTTGATTGAGCATTCCCCAATACACCAGAAGGTTGCAGGTTCAATTCCCAGTCAGGGCACATGCCTAGGTTGTCAGTTGGATCTCCTGGTGGGGGCACTTGTGGGAGGCAACTTATCAATGTTTCTCTCACATCGATGTTTCCCTCTCTCTCTCCCTAAAAATAAAATTTAAAAAAACACACAATTAAAACATATCCTCAGGTGAGAATTTAAATGTGTATGTGTGTGTGTGTGTGTGTATTTGAATTAAATGCTCCAATCAAAAGATTTATGGTGGGTGAACAGTGAGCTCAGGCGGTGGCAAGAGGCTCCGGGAGGTTCTCCTGGTTTGGGACCCCAGCGCCCAATGGGGAAATGCTCCCTGCAGCGGATACTCACTGCCGCTGCTTTCCAGAGAGAGAGAGGAATACGCCTAGCACCAGGGTCCATGCCAGCCACATCATGCCACCACTCGGCCTGCACGGCCCCAGCAGCAGCCAGTGTGCCAGGGTCTCCCTCAACTACTGTAGTGATCTGGGTCCAGGGCCTCAGATGTCCTTCACCCACCCCTAAAGATCCCAGGTGGGTAAGGGAATATTCAGAGGGATCACAATCTTTCAACTAATTTATTTTACTCTGCTAATAGGCTGAATGTAACAGAGGAATTAACGTCTAATAACCAGAGGAGATTTCTCAATGTCCAGACCAGGCTCACAGATGTCAAACACATTAACTGGAGAGTGGTGCTGAGTAGCTGCCTCTATATTCAGATCCCAGGCGGAGCTC